CAGACGGACTTACGGTGGACAGACGGACGCTGGACAACCGACGCGACATTTCCTTTTATTGTGTTTTTCTTTTTATATATTTCTTTGTCTAAAAAAAAAAAAAAAAATTTAAATCCTCAGCGGCGAGGAAAGAAAAAGAGTTTCATGACAATGTTTCCATTTTATCATTGGTAGGATAAGGCAAATGACTTTTAGATTTTAGATTTTTCAAATTTTTTTTTCCCCTTTTGCTTTTCCTTGCACCTTTTGTTTTTTCATACTGGTCGTTTTCAGGTACCTCGCCATACACAAATTCACGATAGCGCGCTCACTTTCCCAGAGGATATACGCATATTAGTTAGTTTAGGGGAAATTATTTTTATCTTCATTTTTTTGGACTTTGGTCTCGCCTTTACCGCGTTCGGCCGAGACAACACATCGCAAAAGGCTACCCTAACTCCAATGACACGATTTGATCAGCAGTTTCAACGACTCCACCTCGGAAGGCAGAACACCGCTGAAGAGTGCCCTACTAGCAGCAGTTCAGCAGGACTTTTCCCAAGTTTCGCTAAGAAAGACCGGCAGAAGTGGCCAATTCCAATCAACAACTAGTGGACACCCTAAGATAACAGAGCGAAGCATTGCTAAGTTGCATGCAAGAAGTCCGAAAAAGGAGAGGTATACTGAAGGTAGGCAAAGTCAAGTAAGGGGCATCAAAGGGACGGAAAATTTCGGGATTGCAGCAATAACATCTACGCCTAATCAGCAACCCCTATCCCAGCCAATAATACGCTAAAATGAGAGTTCTCAAACTGTCCAGCAAAACCAACAGACAGATGATCCTAGGACCGATGACGAAAGCACCCGAAGATGGTGTCTAGACCTGAATCGCTTGCATTTGAAATTTGACGGATCGGGTAAAGGTCTGATCGTTGAGAATTTCATCTTTAGGATCGAACGCCTCAGGCAGCAGCAACAAATAAATCACGCTAAGTTACTCGCCGAGTTCCACTGTCTAGTAGGGGGACAAGCGAATAAATGATATTGGCAACTGATCGAGAATCGCGAAGAAGACACCACTTTCGACTATGGTTTGAAAGCGGAGCTGTTGAACCAATTTAAAACAGCTGACTCGTATCACGAACTGATAAGGGAAGTCATGGAAGCAGCAGCTGCCGGAGAGTTTAGAAGCAACGGCATGAGGAGCGACGCCAGCCTCAATTTACAACGTCACTTGGCAACCAGCCGACGCCCACGCAAGCGCCGGCGCCAACTAGGGCGACACCAGAACAGCACATTCCCAGCCCAGTGGCATTAGTCGCCGCAACCACGGCTCCGAGTTCATCCTTTTGCCAAACACCCTTTCACCTAACTTTGTGCTATATCTGTGGGATGCCAGGAGATTTTTTCCACAATAAGATCTGCTTCAATTGTGGCAAAAACGAGAGTTATTATTATTATTATTCCACCATCGGAAAACACCAGACTGGCAAGGCAAGCCGGGAACCCCTGCCAGTTGAGACACCACCCGGATCAACAGCAATAACAATTCTATGGAGAGAGGGGGGTGCGAATCAACACCAACTGAACAAGACGCCACCCCACAAAGAAGCTTGGCGCAGCGAATCGCAGACTATCAGCAGAAACGCGGCGAAATTTTTAGCGCCGAAATTAGAAATAGACGAGGCTCACCCGAAAATACAAAACGATTCTTAGGCTTCGTTAGAGAAGAAGGGATTTCGAAACGAAATTGCAGCGATTATTACCCTGGAGCACAACAACAGATGTTCGCTCAAACTAAGGTTGACAACGTCGAAATCGAACGTCGACACAGGAACCAGCGTCAGTTGTGTGGAGCAGGAGCGAAAGAATTTCTTCAGATTTGAAAACACAAAATCGTGAAGCTTCGAAATTAGAACGTAAGAACGGCGAACGGGAATAAAACACAGGCACCAGGGCTCATCACCTTACCAGTCGAGTGGGAGAGGGAATTAGAAATATCGAGTTCCTCATTGTGCCAGTTTTACGGCACGAGTTCTACTTCGGCATAGATTTCTGGAAGGCTTTTGACCTATCCGTTGCCACCAAAGCAGGCACCATCAATTCCCCAAATAAGAGTCAGGTTTTGTATGCTATACGCCAAGAGGACCATAACTCCGAGAATTACCGAAATTCATCACGTTAACTGACCGGTACAAAGCACAGCTCCCCAGATAAGGTCATAAAAACATTTCCGCGCAATACGCCCGAAGAGTTCGACGGATCTAATGAAATCACCTCATCAACCTTATCTTTACCCAATCATCTACAACAACGGCAACGGCCTCGACTCAGCAACGCTCAAACGATAATAGCAACAGTAAATCACTACAATGAATTATTGCCCTCTTCGACAGCTACTAGCTAAAATGTTAACCATACCAATCACAACAAATTGACTAGACGTATACGCAATAGCAAAAATTTAATTAATCAAAGCAAAGTACTAAAATCGCCCACGCCTCACCCATCTACAACTTCTACAGCACCAAATCGTCATGCGCATCAGTAGGAACATCGTCACCATCACCATAACGTACAGAATCGGCAACAATCGCCTTCAACTACACAGCCTGCCGGCAACAGTACTGCATTGCAATTTATGCACAAATGCTACGCTGACTACAACAGCTCAACATAGTAAACCCTATTTCCATCTTGCGTACACAAACCAAATTCCAGCACATCTACTACTGAACGGCTGCTCAACAATGGTAAACAGTGAATTCGAACTGTCTACCAACACGAGTGATGAAAGTGTTAACAATGGCGAACCCGATAGTAACAAGTGTCTAACACCGTGGGACTTGGGCATGGAAGCGTTAAGAGATTCATGTCCCATAGATCTTGGACGTTGCTAAGCTAATGGCAATGAATTTTAAATGAAAGTCAACACTATCGTATGCAAAATCAACAACTCAAAGAGTTGCTCGACTTACGAAATGAACAGATTAGTAAACTTAATCGCGATTTGAAAGTTTGGTGACATTAGCTAGACTTACTTCAGCTAAATCACACGCAAGGTAGTGGCGTAATTGCTTTTACGAGTCCCACTGGCAAAAATCACAACGTCGTGAACCTGGAGAGTACGATATAGTTTCAAAGGAAGCAAATAAGAGCATTACTAACCATTCAAACCAAAATGTGGAACTGTTGATGGAGCGTGAATATGGTCAGAGGAACAATTGCCAACAAGAAAAATCTTATCAACGGGGTGTAACGAAAGAAGCTAGAGTATACCACGCCAAGGATATATTTGAGAGCCGTGCAGGCACAATCGAATCTTAGGCACTGCCTAGGCACCTCAGTCGGTAGAGCATGAGACTCTTGATATTCCTACTTCTTGTTGTTCCTTCCCTTTTCTCGTGACGACGATGTCGATGTTTCCCTAGAGGCCTCTGATTTGAAGCAAATAGATGACGAAATAAATGTCAGCATATCTGCTGCACTTTCAAAACGAATTATATTGAAATAAGAGATATAAGAAATAAATCCGCTTTAACATGTTTTGTAAAAATGAAAAACATGGCTTTTGTTTTTGTGGTTCAAAACTAGGGTTGATTTGCAATTCATTTTAGAAGATTATTGATTGTCGATAGGTAAATTCATACGTTAATATGTAAACATAAAATGTGTTACATAATATTTTGGGAAAATAACTGTGCATCGATCAATTCTGTTATCTTAAACACTATTGTCATTTTTGCGTTCTTTAATTTGAATATGCCAATTGGTTTGTGGTCATCTGTCGTGTGAATGTATACGAAAATTATCATATAAGATGTGTTGGATATTCCACCCAAATACGTGAGTTATCAAATGATAACAAAAATTGCCGATAGTACTACTTTATCTTTAATTATACTAACTTTAATATCGATTTCTATAAATTGATTAGGGCAGTGAAAGATGAACTATAATGAATAAAAAATGTATTCGGAGACATGTTCGACCGTTTTAATAACGTGGAGAGCATGCACAATAATATTGTTATGAAATTCGTTTTTCTAAGATACAGTCGGTATCACTGGACCGTGCATATTTTGTTCAAAAGAAATACACGTCAAAGTTATTTCAATTACAATTATATTCCTTTATAGTAAGATCATTTATTTACAATTATGTTCCTTAAATGTAGGATCATTCAGAATTTATTTTGGCCGTACTCTTAGCTTCTATGTTCTTGCCCGACTAACTCTCCCTTCCACAAATATTGTAATTATATACATTTTTACAAACATGTTACTGTACCCAAATTCATAGTTTTTATATTTAATCACTGTCTGCTTTTTCCGTTAATCGTTTTCATCGGCCTGCAGCTACATGATGCGCCTGCGAATGTGCATTTGGTTTTTCCTTGTTTGGGGAATTTATTATAGGGGAAAATTACTTAATTACTTTTCGTAAATATATTAAGATCTCCTTTAGAAATGATTGCACAAACTAAATTCTCTTTAAAGGGTCTTTGCAAGAGAACGTTTAAAATCAAGTAATTAATAAGTTTGCTGCTGCAAAAAAATAAAGTTCATCAAGTTTCTGGTTCCAAGAGAAAGATAACGACAATGAGGAAAGGAAAGCAATTGAGTGGGTTGATTTAACAAATTCATAACCTTTCTCAATGATCAAGCTAACAAACGAAGCTCTTGTGACTTCGCCGTCGTCAACTGCCTTTACGTTAATAAATGCATTGTACAACTGTAGTAAACTCACCGATCTCATTTTGATTTCACCCAGAAAATTGATATTTCTATTGCGTTTTGGATCAGGTACAATAAGGAATCATCTAATTTACCACATCAAATCTAAATTAGGTTCGGGTTTTGAAATGAGCACAGTTAAATTTAATTAGGGATTTCAACTTATCAACGATTTTATGGGTTCATCTGCAAAATCATTTCCCTCTGTCAGCTGCGGCATCGTTAGGACTTATAGAGTTGCCCACTTTTGAAATCAAACATGTTATGCTACACGTGTCTTTTGTTCATAGGCTTCGGAGTTGGATATTTTACTCCGAGTACTTGATATTTAAAATAAACTTAAATGTTTTGCTGTGAGTGTCTAAGCATTTACAAAGATTGTGGCGTGATTGCTTCTATCGTAAAGTCGAAGATTACGAAACACCTTTAAAGAAAGACCTTAGTCGTTGTGGTTGATGATCAGCTTATCCATTGTGTTCTTATACCCATCGCCGGTCCATGAAGGATATATTCATTTTATCAAACCATTTGCAACGCCCAAAAGTAAACTTCAGAGACCTCAGGTATGTATATTCTTAATCAGCATTAAATTTTGAATCGATTAAAGCATATCTATCCGCTCGTCTCTCTGGTTGTCCGTCTGTGTAATCTTTGTTGTGAACATTCTCCCGCCCGCAAAAATTAAAATATCGCTTACAAATTTGCAAAAGAGTTTGAAAGTGGCCCAAACTTTTCAAGAAAAATCCATAATGCGCTCCTGCCTAACAAAAACCGTTAGTTTGAAAATAGAAAAAATCAGCCGCGCTACCCTACGGTGTAGAATATGAAAATTCGTTATTTTCTTTGGCTAGCTGTAAGTTGCTGCCATAATAAATT